CCCCCCCCCCCCCCCCTCCCCCTCCTCCTCCTCCTCCTCCTCCTCCTCCTCCTCCTCCTCCTCCTCCTCCTCCTCCTTTTTTTCCTGGTCATCTTCTCATTGCCTTCCTCCATTCTCACACAGGAGTGAAAAGCTGTTGTTGTCCCAACGATTGGCTCCCCATGAACAGGCTGTGCTACAAGGTCTTTGATGACAAAAAGAACTGGAATGATGCAGAGGTTAGAAGTGCTTGTGTGTCTGTGAACCTCCCAGCCCAGGCAGAGGAGAAGTCTAGGGAGAGCCTTGCACAGCCCCCCAAGTCCCCTCTGGCTGGGCTGAAGTAGAGGGCCACTAGGCTGGGAGCATGAAAAAATAGCAAAGGTCCTGATTTTAGGACAGTCTAAAATGCGAGTATTCCCTGGACTATATACCGGTTTAGGCTTTCATGGCCAGTATCTGTAGGCCACCTCAAGTGAGGGGATCTCAGATTTTGAACCATGAATCATGAATTTAAATCAGGAACTGTTCAAGAGCTGCAGATACCAGCAAAGTCATCTATGGCGGTCAACAAGGCTCAGATGGTGCTTAAGACCATCTGGTGGGAATCAGATCTTCGCTCTTTTCTCACATGGAGACACACACACACACACACACATGTTTCTTTTCTGTGTTGTTGCTCTCTCCCAGATGTTCTGCAGGAATTACAAGCCAGGCTGCCACCTCGCCTCCATCCATAGCAGGGCAGATTCCGCTGAACTGGCCGAGTACGTCTCCGACTATCTCAAAAGTGACGGAGACGTCTCGATCGGACTGAACGATCCACAGAAAGTAGGTCCTTTCTGTCGATAATATTTTTCAATTTGTTTGCTCTTGTTTCTAAGGATCTTCCAATGGGAGGGAGGGAGGGATCTCTCTGATAAAAACTCTGGCCTTGGGCAAAACCGTTTCTCCTGCCCCCTCACCCACACTTCCTGCCCAGCTGAAGAAGCGACTGCAGTCTTTAAAGTCCCAAAGAAATGGATTTTATCCCAACTTCATCTCACTCAGACCCTCCCTCGGCCTGCCTTGCCCTTTTTGGCCCACTGAATGGCCTCTGAATGGAGACTCTGGTGGGCCATCAACTGAGGGACTGCAGGAAGGGCTGGGAGGGCTGTTTTTTCCTTCCACCTTTTTTTATTTTATGCACAAATTGCTCATTTCTGTGACCGGCAGGATTTCGTCTTCTGCTACGATAAGATAAGATAAGATAACCTTTATTGTCATTTTTTTTTACTGTGGGCACAACGGCACACATCAAAAATGAAATTGAGTTGCCCGCTCTCAAAGTGAAACACATACATGACACACACCTAGACATACTATGATCAACATATGTATAGACCCACATCCTTACATGTATGTAGCAAATAAATATTAAATACTGTCCATCTTGAATATATAACGGAAGGAGGAGGAGGGAGCGCTGTTGCATTTTCAATTCCTGAAAAATGCTGGATGACAATGTACAAAGAAGGGACGCTTCCCTGGAATTGAGCTCAGCTCCTGGTGACTTTAAGAGTAGAAATGTTATTTTCTCCTGGGGTATCTTTTCTCTGGCTCTCCTGATTGTCACCTATCCAAACATTCATCAAATTTAACCCCGGTTAGCTGTTCCAGATCAACTGAGGTTGACTAGATAGATAGTGAAAGAGAAAGAGTAAGAGAGAGAGAGAGAGAGAAAGAGAGAGAAAGAAGAGAGAAAGATAAAGAGAGAGAGAGAGAGAGAGAGAGAGAGAGAGAGAGA